GGGAAAAAGGGCCGCTCTCTGTGTGCCGCGAGGCAGGAGAGAGGCGCACAGCTGGATCCCTGACGTCACTCACTCTGACAGGACACCCAGTACAGGGCGTGTCAGAGAGGAAAGGGAGACATCCCTCAAATAAAATTGAATAAATGAACAGGGGGAAGACCAAGATGCAGCCGTGCAAATATCTTCCACTGACATTCCTCCGCGCAACACCGAGGAGGAGGAAATTCCTCTGGTTGAGTGCGCTTTGATATTCTCCGGGGGCTCCCCCCCCCGAGGAGACATATGCCTGTGACACAGCCTCACACAGCCAGTGTGACAGCCGTTGTGTAGACAGAGGTTGCCCGATCGAGCGCTCTCTGTAGTGCACAAACAGGCGCTGAGAACGGCGCAATGCCGCCGTGCGCGCTACATAGCAGACAGCGCGCGCACCGGCCAGAGGAGATGAGATGTTTCTTCTTCCTCCGACCTCTTGCATCCCATGGAACTGCTGGGGGGAGAGGCTTCTCTGTGATGTGCCGTAATGGTCGTCATGGTGACGTGCCACGCCCTCGCCGCTGCTGCCCGTGAAGCAAAAAAGCTGCGAGGGAGTTTCCACACGCTGCATTCCACTCTGTCTCTCATCATGAGGCGTGTACACGCCCAGAGGATGAGAGGTGTGTGTATGCTGTCCTCACGAGGCGTTATAACAATGCTCGTGGATTTATTATGACCGTGTGTAAGGCATATCTGGGACAGAGGAATGCCTCGAGCTCTGCAGTTTATAAACCAATAGGTTAAAACAGCAGGCTTCTGCAGTGAATGAAGCACCTCTGGAGACTCCCCCTGTGGGGGAGACCCAGGGGAATCCCCCCCGTGACCAGCTGACGCTAATGCCGAGCAGCTGCGTTACGGAGAGGGCTGTGTGGTTTGTGACACGCTGTCAGTTTCTCACTCGCTGCCAGAGAGCGCTCTGCTGCTGGCTGAGTTTTTAATTCCACTCCAGATAACGTTTGTCTGAGAGGGAAGGGAACAGCTCTTCTTCCAACTTGTTATGAAACCCAGGCTTTGACAGATGCGATACGAGATGTACCGTCTGTAAAGCGACTTCCTCCCTGGAGCGAGCCAGCAACTAGCAGGTCGTCCAGAGGAAACCACCCTCTCATCCCTCCTCTGTGTAGCGGCTCCAGCCTTCTCTACACAAAAATGGGAGGAGCCAGGGAATATCCAAACGGCAGACGATTGTCTGGTCTGATATTCCCTGAAATGAGAAACCGCAGGAATTTCCTGTGTTTCGGGATGATGGGTACGTGGAAGTATGCATCCTTCAGGTGGAAGTGAACCAGTCGTCCTGGTGAACACATTCCAGCCCCTGTTTGATCGTCAGCATGTGGAATACTGACAGATCGAGGATGTCTCATTGCCCCAGTCTTTTTCGGGATTAGAAAAATAACGGGAGTGAAAACCCCTGATTTTCCTCCCTTTGAGGAAACCTGGAAATATCCTCTTTCAACAGGAGTTCCAGCAGCTCGGATTTGGAGAGCAAGACATAGCTTCTGGGAGGACAGGAGTGTTTCCTGTATCCCATTGAACTGTGGGGGGCTTTTTCGTCACCACGCTGCGGGGTGTGACACGTCGAAGGAGAGCTGTCAGCGTGTCCACTCCACTCTCTGTCGTGAGAGTCGTACTCTCATGCGGGCTGAATTCAATTCCACCCAGGTAAACAATACTCTGGGCTGGAATGGGACAGCTCTTTTCCCAATTTATCATGAAACCCAGCTTTGACAGATACGATATGAGTTGTACCGTCTGTAAAGCCGCTTCCTCCCTGGAGCGAGCCATGCAGCAGCAGGTCGTCCAGGTAAAAATAGTACTCTCATCCCTCCTCTGTGTAGCGGCTGCAACGCCGTCTCTACACACTTTGAAAAAGTACGAGGAGCCAGGGAATAGCCGAACGGCAGACGGTTGTACTGGTTCGCTATTCCCTGGAATGAAAACCGCAGGAATTTCCTGTGTTGCGGAATGATGGGTACATGGAAGTATGCATCCTTTAGGTCTATAGAGGTGAACCAATCTCCCTGGTGAACACACTCTAGCACCTTTTTGACCGTCAGCATGTAAAACAGGTCGAGGATGGGTCTCATTCCCCCTGTCTTTTTCGGGATAAGAAAATAGCGGGAGTAATACCCCTGATTTTCTTCCTCCTGGGGAACCCTGGAAATAGCCTCTTTCAACAGGAGTTCCCGTAGCTCTGCTTGGAGCACAAGACACTGTTCACGGGATGTTAGGCATGTCACCTGTATCCCGTTGAACTGTGGGGGGGGGAGGCGAACTGCAGGGTGTACCCTCTGCTGATCAGCCTGTTCGTCCATCAAACACATGCGCTGCCACGCCGAGAAACACTCTGACAGCGGGCGCGCATTGCTCGAGATGTGTTGTGGTTGTCATGACTACGAGCCACGCCAGAGCCCTCGCCGCCGCTGCCCGTGAGGCAACCCAAGGTGGGCCTAGAGCGAAAGGGCTGTGCAGAGGCCTCCACACGCTGCGTATCACTCCGCCTCGCATCATGAGGCGTGTACACGCTCAGAGGATGGGTGGAGGTGTGTGCAGTAATATCCACATGAGGCGTTAACACTGCGCTCCTGGGCTTATTATGACTGTGTATAGGTGGCGTATCTCGGACAGAAGAATGCCGCGAGGTCTGTGGTTTAATAACCGAAGAGTCATAACAATCAGATCCCTGCAGCGAACCCTGCTGCCTACTAATCACCAGATTGAAGGCAGCTGGTGTAATTACTGTGCTCCGCAGCTTATTAATCGATAGATTAAATAGCGCAGGCTTTTGTACCGAACCCGGCTGGCTATTAACCGATAGGTCATGGCAGCTGGCTCACCGGCCAGAGTGGGGGATATGTGAAACACATTTGAAACTGATGACTCAGCCAACATGTTGGGAAATAATCTTCTTTTATTTTCCTCACACTGTCTCCCCAACCGTCAAGGCCGCTCTGCTTCCTCGGCGGCTCTCATGGAGCAGACGCCGAACGGGAGTACCTCACTCCCTTTTTTTACCCCCCCCTCTCTCCCTTTTTTTTACCCCCCCCTCTCTCCCTTTTTTTTACCCCCCCTTGCCTGGTGGGGGTGGGGGGGGGGGCGGAGGCCCCGCGAGGCAACCCAAGGTGGGCCTAGCGAAAAGGCTGTGAGGACGCCTCCACACGTTGCATTCACTCCGCCTCTCATCATGATGCGCATACACGCTCAGAGGATGGGTGGAGGTGTGTGCAGTGATAACCACATGAGGCGTTACCACGGCGCTCATGGGCTTATTGTCACCGTGTGTAGGTGGCTTATCTCGGATAGAGGAATGCCGCGAGGTCTGTGGTTTAATAACCGAAAGTTATAACCACCAGAACCCTGCAGCGAACCATGCTGCCTACTAATCACCAGATTGAAGGCAGCTGGTGTAGTTACTGTGCTCCGCAGCTTATTAATCGATAGATTAAAATGCGCAGGCTTTTGTAACGAATCCTGCTGGCTATTTAACCGATAGGTCATAGGCAGCTGGTTCACCCAGAGTGGGGGATATGTGAAACACATTTGAAACTGATGACTCAGCCAACATGTTGGAAAATAAGCTTATTTTTATTTTCCTCACACTCCCCCGGTGCCCCGGCCGCCGCTGACGGACGATTCTGAAGCCTCGGCTGCTGTTGCTGCTGGTGTCTGTCCGTCTGCCGCTGTGGCCGGGTTGGCTGCTGCTGCTGCCGCTGGTGTCACTGCTGCTTCACCGCTGGCTGTCCTCGCCTGGGACACCGCCATGGCTGCGCACAGCGACGGTGGTGTGTTCTGGATGGGCTCCTGCCCACCCCAGACGTCTTCCTCACCCGCAGCAGCTAGAGCGTCCGCCCTTCGCTTCCTGTCGGATGAAGGAAGACGCACATAGTGAGGAAATGCGACCTGCTGGCTGAGAGCCGCGTCCGCGTGCTCTGGCCCCAGACAGGCTGCGCATATCGGATGCAAATCGTAGCTCATAATGTAGCCCATATTACACGAAGGGCACATACGGACACACTCTTTATTGCTCATGATGTTGCTTTTCTCGTGCTTCAGTAAACTGCTGGTTGCTGAAGAAAAGAGGGAGCAGATCGCCGGGCAACCTCCCTATTTATACCGGAAGGAGGCCCGAGGGTGGGGCCCACCTAGCGGGTGGGCGTGGACTACAAGTGTTTTCAGTACTGCGCGGGGGCGCAGAAGGGTAAACCCAATAGCGATAGCCTTAGAGGGCGAAGCCATATACGAAATAGAACAACGGAATTCCTTTTGTCTGAGTTTTTTTTTTTTTGTCACGCGGGGGGGGGCGGGTCGATTAATCGATTAACCAATTATTATTCGCCAGGGCTGCCGAATAATCGATTTTGATTATGGTCAGTTTCTGGCAACCCTAATTATTAGCTTCTGTTGCTACCTTTTTAAAACAAATGCAACACACCGGCTCATTCAAGTCCGTAGGTTCGCCTCGTTGATTTGGCTTAAATCCAAAATATTCCCACACCGGAGATGGAATTAGGTTTTGCAACCAATTCCATCCAACTTCAAATTCCCCTCGAGTAAGTCACACATTGTCTCCTGCTTGTCTCTGTATTATTCATTTGGCTGCTACACTGCTGCACGCGGAGTGTCCTGACCTGGCTGTGTGTGAGCCCCGCCCCTCACAGCGCGCCGGGCCAGCAGCCACAGCACGTTGGGCTAAAATGCTGATCACTTCCTTATGTAAACAAACACGCATGTAAACGGCAATTTATCAAGGTCAGAAAAGTTATCGAGTTAATTTGTATTTATCGTGCGATAAGTCAATTAATTGCTTAACGTGACAGGCCTAGGCCTTGCTGCAGGAGATACTCACTCTTCACTAACGTCAGTGGTCATGGCCCAGTTGGGGAATGCATTTTCTTTTTTTGAAGCACGTCAAAGCTAAATGGCTGTTACGATGCTCTCTATATAAGTGTGTGTGTGTGTGTCGTCAGGCTCCTCTCAGCCTGTCCACCTGCTGTGTGTCAGTGAGGATGGCAAATGGCTGGCTACTGCAAACACAGACTGTCTGATCCATGTGTTCAACCTGGACAAGCTCAAGGTGAGTTTGAACTCCATCATGCTGTTAACTGATAGGTCAAATTTGAATTGTAGCCAAAGCAACAATAGTAACCCCTCCCCCCCCCCCCCCCTCTTTGTGTTTGCAGCTTCATTGTACAGTTCCGGTGTACAGCTCATGCCCCACTGCCATAGCCATCCACCCAACAAACAGCAACCTTGTGGTGGTGCATGCAGACCAGCAGGTAACGTGTGATTCTGTCATCGGCTAACAAAGTATCTGCTCTGCTAAGTATAACACAGAGATGTACGTGCTACAGCCCAGGGGTAGACATTAAGGGTAACATTTTATTATCACTGGCCCTACCATTGTAACCACTGGCCCGGAGCATTCGTCCAAAGAAAATCGACCAATAATGAAGAAAATTAACACATTTGTTGCAATAGTAATTGATGCACTAACTACATTACTACTTGTACTACAACATTTGAATCATCAGTTCTTCCTCATTTTCCTCAATTGTTCATATTTGGTTTATTAAAATAATGATATTGTGGTCATTGTTAAAAAATGTCTGCTATTATGAGTATTATTATTTGTATAATGCGCTTTCTGCCTTCCTGTCATTAGGAGTTAGACATGTAATGGCTATGTAATAAACTAGATTAGAACCTTCATTATCCTAAACTGCTGGGACATTTCCCTAAAGCCAATACCTTTATATTTGTTCTACTCTTCTCTTACTCAGCATAGGTAGGCATTGATGTACAGAGCCGACAGAAGACCTTGTTTATATTGGCATCATATCGAAGCCAACTCCATCGATCAAGCTGGCTGAAACTTTCTCTCCCTCTTCTTCTCATGCTCCCTGTCACTCTCCTTGAACTCCTCCGGTGACATTCTTTTATTTGAAGATTGTTTTTTGCCCGGCGCTTAGCCGGCTACCGCTGGTATTAAAAACATCTTGGCGAATGGTTAGGTGCCGAGAAAGTCTGTAGTGAACGAGCGCTCACGGGAGCCTGCTCGCGCTGCGCTCTACTCCGCAGCAAACAGCTGTTTGCTTTTCACCCAACAACGACAACCGCCTCACGAAACGCTATGTAGTAGCGTTAATAAACGAAACAATTCAACACAATTGCTTGTCAAAATACCAATACCACAGGACAATTTTTTTTTAAGCAATATTGTTAGTGGCCCGAGCGGGAAAGTACGTTATGCTGGCCCGGGGTGTCTGAGCAGTGCTTCCGGGCCAGCGGGCCATTTATAATGTCGAGCCCTGCAGCCCCTGTAATGGTTTGTGTTTTGTGTATTATACAGATCTTTGAGTACTCACTGGTACAGAAGGAGTACACAGAATGGAGTCGGAAGCTGCAGAAACAGGGACTGCACCCCCTGTGGATGGAGAGAGACACCCCCATCACACACATCGCCTTCAATCCTAAAAATCCAGCTCACATCATCCTGCACGACACGTTCATGTTCTGCATCATTGACCAGAATCTGGTATGTGGGCGCTCAGTGAAAGGCTGACTGTCATGTTGATGTTGCTTTATCTATGCCCGGAGTGTTTCAGTTTTCCTCCTAAGGCAAGGAAGAGGGGGAGAGGGGGGAGGGGGGGGTTTGAATGGTTGTCATGCTCTATTTCTTTCTTCGTTTCTTTGCGCAGCCCCTCCCTGAAGCGAAGACTCCACTCTACAATCAGATGACACTGAGGAGTCTTCCTGAGTCAGAGAGGATCATGCACAGCCACGCCTTTAAGATATGCAAGAACTTCCAGGTACCCATGCACTGAGCCCAGGAGCGCTACGTTAACTGTTTTAATTGAACTAGGGTTTCCCATGAGATCATAACAAAAAAACTAATGGTTTTACGTAATTTCCTGTTGAAAATCCAGTCTTTTTTGATTAACAGATCCAAAGACTTCATTGTCCTATGCTCAATAGCTACAGCACAGTTTTGCCAATGACAATCCGAACGATAGTACCAGGCTGATACAACACTGAAATGTAAACAATAAAAAAGGTGCAAGAGGAAACAAAAGAAGAAATTAAATCCTCTTATAAAAAAAAGCTAGTCTGAACTAGGGATCGACCGATATGGCTTTTTCAAGGCCAATACCGATACCAATTATTAGTAATCAAGGAGACCGATAACCGATATTTGGAACCGTTATACATTTGCAGTAAAATCAGAAAATGTTGGTGTCAAAATGTAGAATAACACAAACTCCAACACAACTTCTTTGAAATTCATTTAAGCATATATTATGTTTAATTAACTTTTAAACATCTTACAACGGGTTTCCTCTCTGTGCCCTTTTCTTTAGTGCAGTGAGTTAGAGAGAGACAAGAAGTGGGGCTGCAGGCTGACATGCTTAACTAACAATAATGCTTAATTTATTATATCTGTCTATCTAGCATAAAATCCCAATAAGCTGCTAGCAACTGCAAAACACTAGTGCTAGCTAATGTTTTGCAAACTATTAAAAGTGAGGCTATTACAATAGACCTAACGTTAGTCTAGTAGCCTCACTTCTAATATTTTGCTAAACATTTGCTAGATACATGTTGGCTAGCTAATGAGCTTTACATATCAACCTGAAAAACTGCGATCATAAGATCGTGGTGTTTTTGCAACTTCAGCATAGGGGATTGGGATATTTATTGAACTTCGGTTTAACACATGTATGGCTCTGCCGCTCAGCGCTGCTGCTTGCTTCAGGCCCCGGCCACACGAGGACGAAAACGGTTGTTTGCGTTACTGTTTAGTGTCATATAGACCGTTCGGCCACACGAGGACAACCGAATATGGCACTAAACGACTGCGGAAACGATAACGGGTCCCAAGGTGGATAGAACGGCATACGCAAAGCTCTGGGGGGTCAAACGGCTCCGTGTGTACGCCCTATACGATCATTTTCTGATAATGATGAGGCAATAGCCTCGCCTCCCCACCTCTGCTGCTCACCCTCGCGTCAAAGTAAACTGCACACTGAATTCAGATTATTTATCTTTCTCTCGATATGGACATAAACGCGAGTGAAGTCTAATCTGACAGGACGGAGACACCTCTCAAACTACCTAAACTAGTTATAAATATGTTTATTTTTACTGTCGGCCGGGTCACTCATTACTGGATCAGCTGCTGCATGAGACAGACACTGACGCTGTCCGAAGAGAGGGAGGAAAAAGAGAGGCTCCATGTATTTTATTATTATATTATATGGATTCGTTATTCATTTGTTTTAAAGCTCAATAAATAACAAAGAAGACCTTTGACCTTTGACCTTTTCCCGTTCTAGCTCCGTGCTTGAGCTTTTCTGGTTCGGAACCGGTTCTTCGGTTCAGCTCCCGCTCTGTTCACACCGCTCAGAGCCCGACTGGTGCTGCGTCATCGTTTGCGTCATGACGTAACCGTTTGCGTGCCTGCTTTATAAAGCCAAACCGCGCGGAAACCCCTCACATCGACAACAAACACAATGGCCGATTGTATTGAAGCGCTACTTGATTTGGTTTTTCTCTGTCAAAACGAAATGGAAGAAATGGGACGACTTTACTACCAACTTTACAGTCGTTACATGCTACATTCAAAAGTGCTTACACAGTTACACAATGGGCCAAAATAAAAAAAATCGGTACTAGACGAGGGCCGGACTGATTCAATGTTTATTGCAAAACGTATTGAAATGAACTTATTGCACATATTAAACCTGGAACTAACAAAGCTTAAATGATTACCTATATAAAAAAATTATACAAGGTTAGGCTTTTTGTTGTTGTTAGAGGTTGATCCTGCCCCCGCCTCCGACGTAAGCGTGATGTATGCGGTGCTTGTTTTCTAGACCGACAACTTTTTGGTGCTTGAAACGAACCGGATTCCGGAGCTTAGAGGCGGCTCCGCTGCGTTGTGAACAGGAAAAAACTGTGCTTTTCAAGCTCCAGCTCCGAACCGGCCCTGGAACCGCGTTGGTGTGAAAGGGGCATGAGATAACTTAAACTAAGGCCACGTTTACACGGAGATGAAACGGGTTGTATCCGCTACAGTTCTCTATCGTATGGGCGGTTTGTCCACACAAGGCCGTAAAACAGAACCGCGGAAACGGAGCCCTCAAATGATAACGCCTCCCAAGGTGGGTAGATCTGCGGACCAAACGGCTCCGTGTGTACGTCCTATGCGATCATTTCCTGATAACGATGACGCCATAGCCCCGCCTCTCCCCACCTCTGCTGCTCACCCCCGCGTCATTGCTGATGTGTTTCGCCAATAACAATGGCGGATCACAGGGTTGCTTTCGTGCTCCAGACGCTACTGACCATGCTACAGATGTTGGTACAAAATCTACAGCTCCTCTACCACAACCATCAGCAACAAGTGGACATGGAGGACTACATGAACTACATGTTGCTAAATCTACCGCGGAGAATAAACAGAAGGGCAGCCATGCTCGAGGGGTCTTCTTTGCTGCTTTTGGTGTATTTTGTGGCGGAAGTACAGCGCCACTTACATATGTATTACATCGTCTCCAGCGTGTCGAGCGGTCTCGTGTGGACGAACACGTTTCTTGAGTCGATTCCGTGTGGACGGAAGACTTTTTTTGATATCGACTAAAGGCACGGACACACCAGGCCGATTATCGGCGTCGGTGGGCGTCAGGCCAACAATGAGCGTCGACATGCCCTACTCAGATTGGTGTGTCCCGTACCGTCGGGTCTTTTCAGTCGGGCCGTTCGCCTTTTCACCCGAAAACCGGCAGTCGGCAAAATAAATCACTCTGATTGGCTGTTCAGCTTGCGAATCAGTGCATGAGAAGCGAAACAGAAGTGAGGGATCCAAACAAACTATTAAGAAGGCAAATCTGAGATTTGATTTAACTACAGCTCTCGACACAGGTTCGGGAAAGCCCCATGAGCTTCTCGTTGTAGAGTGAAAATGGAACGCACACGCTTTTTGTTTGTTTATATCACGCAGTCTGTTCTTCTTCTCTCTGTGTATCACGCAGTCTGTCTTCCGGTTGTTGCCTCTTTTGAATGACGAATACTCACTACCGCCGCCTGGTAAGGAGAGTTATTGCCACTCACGCATGCGCAGTTCGTACGTACTTCTTGGCCGTCGGCTGAAGTCTTTGCGGTGTGTTCCAGTGCGACACATGGCAGAGACGCGAGGCGACACAACAGTCGGGGTCCGTCTGTGTCAGTTCTTTGTTATCAGATTGGTGTGTCCGGGCCTTAAGGTTTGTTTTTGTTTTTGTCTCTGTGTAAACGTGGCCTAAGTTAACTAAACACTGAGAGTCCTTTACCTCACTGAGCTATAGTTATCAGCCTCTCAGTCTGACAGGAGAGAGCTCTCCCTCCAACTTGTTGTTGAAACTGCTCCTTATATCCATTAGAGCAGCTAACTAGCACCAGATGCTAACAACAACAATACAAGTAACCGGTGCGCTCTCTCTCTCACTCGCGCCACACATACACACCCTCCCGATGTTGAATGACACACAGAGACCAATCGAGGGCTTGGATGTATGATCTGTATGACAGTGGGTATGTGGGCAGGCCACATCATGTAGACAGCCAGTCACCCTGTGTGAGGCAGACCCAGATTTGCGCAGCGTTGCGTTCACAATACATTAAAAATAAATCCTCAGGCCAGCAGGCCACTTAACAGTCCAGGCAATCAGGAAGCCTCCCGGTCCTCCCGATGGCCAGTCCAGGCCTGGCAGGCACTGAGGTTTCAGTTTGCACAGTAAGGCTCATTCCCCGACTAAAAGTCGTACAATACTCCTGACCCAAGAGGGCGGCTCCAATATGCTCAAAACTATATAAATATGCCAGAGGAGTTTTGGCCTATGGATCAGGGGTATGTCTGCAGGAAGAAGAATGAAGCACATGCTGAAAAGAACACCCTGCCTCCAGTGAAGCATTGCGGTGGCTCAGTGATGTTCTGGGACTGCTTTGCTGCCTCTGGCACTGGAAACCTGCAGCGTGTGGAGGGCAAAATTCAGTCAAGTATCAGGACATTTTAGGAAAAATCGCCATGCCGTCTGTGAGGAAGCTGAAGCATGGGCGTCATTGGACATTCCAACAGGATACAAGCATACCTCAAAGTCCTGACTTGAACTCCATAGAAAATCTCTGTTGGGATTTAAAGGGGACCTATCATGCAAAATGCAGTTTTTTCATGTCTTTTATACATAAATATGTGTCCCCGTGTGTCAGGGAACTCACAAAGTGTCAGAAAATATAACCCTCTCTCTTTTCCTCTTGCGCAAATCTCTAAAAACGGGGGTACAACGGAGCTGATCCGATATGACTTCATTTACGTCATATCGGATGGTGGACCAGCGGCCCTATCAGAAACGTCGCTATCAGAATCAATGCCCGACGTGTTTTGGAAGTAATATGGTCTGTGTTTACATTAGCAAGCATCGCTAACACTCAGAGCTAACCTGTACTGGAGAGAGTGAAGGCATCTCAATTTTCTAATTTCCCCTCCTCGACTCCTATCCTCGTGTCTTAGTCCCACCCACAGGAGATGCGAGCGGAGGACTGAGGAGGGGAGCCGAGGAGAGAGTAGTGGAAGCAGCAGGCGGTTAGAGAAATGAGAACTCCTCTCCTCTGAGAGGTCATTTTAAAGAGACGTCCATTAATGATGACAGGAGGCACAGCAGCCCTCTGTCTGATGGACTGATGTGTTCATGACCACTTATTTTACTTTTAATTAATTGACAGTGCGGTATAATGAGACAATAACTGGCTACAGATGCGGACACACACATATTTATATAAATATATGCAATTTCAGAATCAAACCAGTATGAGAGCACTTTCATAATAACGTAACATAATATTAGTGAACTGGAGGCCACTGCCCATGAGGAATGTGCTAGGATTCCTCAGGAGCGCTGTCAGAAGCTGTGGTCTGGCATCACGTTTGCAGCAGGTCAGAACAGATTAGGGCTGTGCATCTTCACTGGTCTCACGATTCGTTCGATTACGATTATCCTGTCAACGATTCGATTCAATTCGATATCACGATTCATACCAATGCGTTGCATCCTCAATTTTCTATATTACTGCACATGGCTTATTTTTCATCAATGCATACATGCAGTAAATACATATGAACTCTCTTTTTATTATTTAGAAAGTGCTTCAAAAATCAATAATATAAATGTCTTGACATTAATTTATAAACCAAAATAAATTAATTGTATTGGTCTAGCCTCCCTATATATGTGTGTGAAGTTGTTTCATCCTCAAAAACAAACAAATAATGCTTCTGCAGTCTAGCTGCAGCTTCTAGCAATGGTCTTCTGTTAAAAAAAGGACACTGAATGTCCTGAATGTGGCATCACACACAGGACTTGAGTCTGAACACAGAAGACAACAGGAGTATTTACAACAGCAGTCTTACTGTTACATACATCCCATGAATGTATGAGATTAAGTTAGCTTCATTATATCTCAGTGATTAAGTGAATAATAAAGTTTCTATCGGGTCACTATCAGCCTGTCACTCATTATTTTCAGGGAGGGGGCGGGGTTTGGAGGAACGGAGAGGACACGGTGATCGCGGAAGCTTTTTTCCTCCTGCCTTCACAAACTTTACACACGTATATCTGAAAATTGCTAGAGGACATTCATACTCTGCAATCCAAGACTTAATTAAATCCACCAAAAACCTGACATGATTGTAACGCGATTATTTTTGAAAAACATAAATCCCTGTGTCTCTGAGCCGCAGCGACACGGAGTGATTCAAAGCGGGTCCTTCTGCTGTTGGTTCTGGACTGGTGTTCTTGTGTTGGTGGATAAAGCAGACTGCTCCGTGTTTGGTGTTGCTGTGCCGCTGTCACGTCTGTTCCCTGATCTCTGCGTCACCGACCGATTTGATATTAAAGTGACAGAAAAAAAAACTTTATAGTAAAGCCGCGGCCGGAAAATCAGGAAGCAACGTTACTACGCTATAACCGATTATCTTACGTCACTGCATCGAGACCGAATCGTCCACGTCCGCATCGCAATGTATCGTAGAAACGATTATTTTCAACACCCCTAGAACAGATAAGCTCTACTAAGACTGAAGATGCTTGTCATGAAGGGGTTGAATAATATTGAGACTGCAGTACTCATTAAAAGTAGTATTATCTGTTGAATTAGGATAAAAACCCTTGTAATAGTAGTCTCATTAAAATATTAAAACAGTTCTTGTGTAATTTTTTTATTGCAAACAGCTGAGAAATTGTATATTGTGCCAATAAGCTTAATGTGCAATAGGGGTTGAATAACTTTAATTGCAACTGTTCAATCGGATCAGAGCCGAAGGTTCTCTGTGTATGATGCCCTTTAATAATCTAGCAGAGACCCTGTTAGCCACACAGATACACATTTAAGCATTATAGTTCATTTTGCCATCAATCGCACTGATTTATTTCCCCCTGATATTCTCACAGCACCTGCTGTGTGTGCGTTTGCTGGAGGACCACTCTCTGGTGGTGGTGGAGCGCCCCCTGCTGGACATCCTGTCGCAGCTGCCTGCACCTGTCCGCCAGAAGAAGTTTGCTACATAAAAGTGGCAGTGTCTTTCTAGATGTTGATCTGAGATCATTTTCATCAAGTGTTTGTGTTCCCACTTTGTATAAAATGCTTTGATAAGTAATAAATGGAACAATTTACTGTTATTGCTGTTATTTGACTGAGAAGTCAATTCATTTGTTATTAGATTACCATTTTAAAGCACAATTATCTCCTTTTGACATCCTCAAAGTGTTTCTACAACTACAGTAGTGTTTTCAAATACTCCAAATGTCTGATGTTCACACAGCATGGAGCGGTGTAGAGCCGCTGCCCATTGTACTGCCCGAAGGTTGCTGCTGGAGCTTATACAGTTAGCAGGTGGAGGTGTTAGCCGTACAGCAGCTTTCTGAAGCTGGACTCCCCCGTTCATCTGATCTGAGCCCCATTATATAGACTTTAAAGGTCACCTATTATGCAAAATGAAGTTTTTGATGTCTTTTATACATACATATGTGTCCCCAGTGTGTCAGGAGACTCAAAGTGTCAGAAAATAAAAACCCTCTCTCTTTTCCTCCTTACCCACATCTCTAAAAACGAGGGAACAACGGAGCTGATCTACAGTTGTGATAGACACAGATACAGAAGGTCCAGATAGATACAGTTGTGATAGACACGGTTCGCCACGGCAAACTTTATTTGTTTTACACCTGAAAAAGAGTCCAAATCATGTAAGACATGGATCCATTAGTCCACTCAGAGAATGCCCACATCATCACCAACAAAACTCCAGCTGTGTTTCAGAGACTTTCACTTATCCCCAGAGCCAAAAGATCAGCTGAGCAACAAGAGGAGGAGTTAGAAATACTCGTTCCCAAAGGTGAGGCGGTTATAATCAAGATGATTCACCCCCCCTATATGCAGTTCTTGTATCAAATGATGAGATGGGTTTAAGTGATCGGGATATGTAAGTGATGGGGATTTACAGATTAGGGTAATCTCCAAATACACTGGATCCATGTTTTAGTCTGTACCAGAAACACCCCCTGTTAAATTTATGAACAACCGACTAGTGACCTATCTGAGCACAATTATTGTAAAAGTTATGAATTCCCCAGCAGATTGTGGCGACATTGCACAGATATCTCCAATCACAAAAGTTACTAATGTTCTAAATAACAGTGAGATTTAAAATGATGGAGAAAATATGGGAACGTTCTTTTATAGTGTGTGAAATATGTGGTGCTTGAAACATGTAGGTATTTCAATTTATAGAAGAAAATGGTTTCCTGAAAGAGTTAATTGGAGTAAACATGTTACAGTGGGTGAAAACAATGTTTCGGGATATGGTACAATTATTCAAGTTCTCCCACTTCAAAAGATGAGAGGCCTGTAATTTTCATCCTAGGTATACCTCAACTATGAGAGACAGAATGGGGGGAAAGAATCCAGGAAATCACATTGTAGGATTTTTAATGAATTTATTAGCAAATTATGGTGGAAAATAAGTATTTGGTCAATAACAAAAGTTAATCTCAATACTTTGTTATATACCCTTGTTGGCAATGACAGAGGTCAAACGTTTTCTGTAAGTCTTCACAAGGTTTTCACACACTTGCTGGTATTTTGGCCCATTCCTTCATGCAGATCTCCTCTAGAGCAGTGATGTTTTGGGGCTGTCGCTGGGCAACACAGACTTTCAACTCCCTCCAAATATTTTCTATGGGGTTGAGATCTGGAGACTGGCTAGGCCACTCCAGGACCTTGAAATGCTTCTTACGAAGCCACTCCTTCGTTGCCCGGGCGGTGTGTTTGGGATCATTGTCATGCTGAAAGACCCAGCCACGTTTCATCTTCAATGCCCTTGCTGATGGAAGAAGGTTGTCACTCAAAATCTCACGATACATGGCCCCATTCATTATTTCCTTTACACGGATCAGTCGTCCTGGTCCCTTTGCAGAAAAACAGCCCCATGTTTCACAGTAGGTATGGTGTTCTTTGGATGCAACTCAGCATTCTTTCTCCTCCAAACACGTCTAGTTGAGTTTTTACCAAAAAGTTCTATTTTGGTTTCATCTGACCATATGACATTCTCCCAATCATCTTCTGGATCATCTAAATGCTCTCTAGCAAACTTCAGACGGGCCTGGACATGTACTGGCTTAAGCAGGGGGACACGTCTGGCACTGCAGGATTTGAGTCCCTGGTGGCGTAGTGTGTTACTGATGGTAGCCTTTGTTACTTTGGTCCCAGCTCTCTGCAGGTCATTGACTAGGTCCCCCCGTGTGGTTCTGGGATTTTTGCTCACCGTTCTTGTGATCATTTTGACCCCACGGGGTGAGATCTTGCGTGGAGCCCCAGATCGAGGGAGATTATCAGTGGTCTTGTATGTCTTCCATTTTCTAATAATTGCTCCCACAGTTGATTTCTTCACACCAAGCTGCTTACCTATTGCAGATTCAGTCTTCGCAGCCTGGTGCAGGTCTACAATTTTGTTTCTGGTGTCCTTTGACAGCTCTTTGGTCTTGGCCATAGTGGAGTTTGGAGTGTGACTGTTTGAGGTTGTGGACAGGTGTCTTTTATACTGATAACGAGTTCAAACAGGTGCCATTAACCAGTTAAGCCCGAAGGTCCCCCCAGTGGACCCCTCCCACAGTTTTTTTTCCTCACATGTCTCAGGGCTTCTTAACATTTATGAAACTATTAATGTTTCATACCCTTTTAAAGGTAAGAAACTCCGCTAACTGACAATAAGAACAATTGTTAGCTAAAAAAAACACAAGAGTAATACCAAGCCTTTGAATTAGCATTGAGCGAAAAAATGCTAACTAATGCTAACGCTTTTTTACACACAACACACGGTAGAAATGCCCTTATTACTATCTTAACTGCACAAACAAGATATACGATTTAAAGCTGAGACTCCACAGATTCCACACATGTAATGTCATCACTGTCCGACCTCGAATTCCTGGAACTATCAGCCAGAAAAGAGAAAGTAAACAACATCCGGTTCCAAAAATATTACAATAATTACGTCTTACCTTTTTTGATTTGTGATCAAACGTTGTGTTCAACGGAATAACGGAATAAAAACGCATCTCAAAGTTAATCCAATGTCTTTGTGTCACGTATAATTTTTTACTGATAATCAATCATCATATTGATGGCAATATACTCGGTATACAAGTATTGCCGTCCAGGCTTGCACTTTCAGCTATGCTTCGTTTGCTTCTCTATTACGTCCGCTATGGTAATGTTTACGTATATTTGGGAACTGCCCATCGATTCTATTGGTTCTGATGGTTAAGAAAAAGGTGTAAATCACACGAATCGACCAATGGGTTCCAGAGATATGGTTCTGCGTAAAGTATAAAGAATGCCAGCCAGCTTAAGTACATTACGCAGCCGACTTCATTTATTGTTTACAACGTAACGAAGCAGGAAATGCAGCAGGACCCAGAGCGCACGGAGCACAGAGCGGACAGCAGATAACGGAATTGCAGTTTTATTGCTTATAGATTATCAGAACATTTCAAAGGGGACACAGCCCCATTGGATATTAATCTATGGATTAACTACATCATCGTTTTTATCGTTTTAATGCCATTGTATATGGAGGACGGAACATGACTTAAGTATAAATAAATAAATGTATGAAGAAATACAGGAATAAATAAATAAATACGTAAATAAATAAATAAATACAGGAATAAATAAATACAGGAATAAATAATTGACGAAATAAATACAGAAATAAATAAATGTTGAAATGAATACACAAATAAATAAATAAAAGAATAAATGCATAAATAAATGCATAAATAAATATGGAAATAAATACATCAATGTATAAATAAATAAATAAAAGTCGAAAATAAAACAGAACACACTTTATTATATATCTTTCATTTATTTCTACATTTACGCGACATACATTTATTTATTTATGTATTTATGTGTCCGTATGCTAATGAGGTGGGCGGTCCTAACCTCAGTCTGAAGCAGGATTGGTTACAGGAGTGTGTGATCATTTCTGGCAGAGGGCTCTACTACTAACGCCTGGATAACCGCGCTGATTCGAATGCAGGAGCTTTACTGTTTAGCCCTTATCTTTATACATCCATGGTTTATCCACAGTTGTAAGGTTTATTTATGGATATTGATTTAAGAGCCATTGGAGATCATTTACGATCATTAGCGGACCATTTAGAGAACGGAGAACCAAAAGACTATGTCCAGTTTCGTGTGGAACGATGTATAGAGGACTTGGCTCAGCTCGACATGGATGTGGATGTTAACCCAGCTGTGTTTGAGAGTCTTCAAGAGGTTGCCCGCCAACTTGAAATCCTCTCGGAAACAGAGGAGGCGACCCTTGGGCGTCCATCTTACATGTTGCCCCTAAACGTTATTGAAGCACATCTTCGTTGGGGCCACACCGCTGGGGACATCGCGCAGGTGTTCGGGGTGTGCGAAAGAACAATTCGTCGGAGGATGACACAGAACGGGATACGGTAGGTTTAATCCGCATTCTTTCACGTTTTTTGTCTGGATTTCCTTACTTTTATTGTTTTCGCGTAGTAGGCTATATCAGTGTACACATTTGTTAGACGCATTAACTTGTGTTTAGTAATGATAACGTTTCATTAGCCTACATTTTCTCCATCCAAATTAGCCGACTTGTTTATAGATTGTTTACATATTTATTAAAATGGTAATAGGCCATGTATATGTTGAAACCAATACATCAGATAGACATGTGTCGGGGCAAAGATACAAACATGCTTTGTACACAAAGCAAAGGTACCATTACCTCAGACATGATGTAGGCCTAATAATAGTAATGAGGTTTAAGAGACCAGCTAATTTGTTTCAGATGACACCTAAATCTTTCAATGCAGGTTAGTACAGAGCAACACACTCATTCTGATGTGTTTTGATTGTACAGTGCAAAAGGTGACTATTGTTTATTGTGACTTACTATTGTTTCGTTATTTTTGATGATCAGGGTCCAAGATCTATTAACTCTGTTAGATGGACAACAGTTTGGATGAAACTGTTACCCAAATTCTACAGCATCATCCCAACTCTGGATACAAAATGATGGTGGGGTACCTGAATGCACGAGGGATACGCATACAAAGTAAGGGATTGTTATTATTATAATAATCCTCCATGCAGTGTTTTTTTTTTACTACTTGATAATGAATCACATTATTCTGGCATATTTAGGAATGCTTTACTTTTCATTATGTTACTTGCAGTACACCATATCTCTGCATTTTCCCGAATATAACAGGACAGCGTGTCCAGGAATCCATGCGGCGTGTTGATCCAGGTGGAGTTTTGATTCGCACTCTGCAGCTGAACCCAAGAAGGCGTAGGAAGTACTTTGTACCAGCACCGAACAGTTTATGGCACATCGACGGAAATCACAAACTGATTAGGTATAGTATAATCATTAACACTCTCAAGCATTGCTCAAACATCCACTTCACTACAGTTACAAAAGATGGGCCCATCTAAAGTGTTCTTATAATCAATCAGCTTCAATGCAAACCAGACTTCAAGATTCAAAGGCTTTATTATTTATCTTTATTGAAAATCTGAAGTCTCCTCTAACAATGCAACATACAATATTCTGTAGACATAAAAACAAGTTAAAACACTGCAAGAAGAAATATAAATGAAATGTATCAAATGATTAATTTTTGTTCGTCTTCCTCTGTGAGATAAAACCATAGAAATAAAAAAGTTATATTTCTATAATACAAACACTATAATTATGACACCAACTATATAATTTGACAAGAAGGATAACAATATTTTTCAAACATCTATTTAGTGGAAGTCCCAGCACGTTGCATGACCGGGCAAATTACTGTTGGAACTTGGATTTTGAATGTATTTTCCAGTCAAGAGAACTTATTGACTGAAATGCTACAGTAAATGTGTGTGTGTATCAAAAGTCTGTTGCTGTGGGAAATGTAGTCTTTTAAAGTTTCGACTAGGACGATTAGGTGACAATATTTGACTGAGTTACATGAAAACGCTGGTACCAAGATACAGTATATTTCGATTTTAATACAATAAAAATTAGATGGTAATGAAGTTACGTTCAGTAGTCATTTGAAACATGTGTTGCACTGAACCATATGCTTGTTGTGAATCAACACTTACTGTAATGCATCAAGAAATATACATTTGTTACAGTTAATGAACATTTTGTAACGAATATCAATTTAAAACTTTGAAAATATATAAAGATAAACATGCTTTCTTTGTTATGTGCAATAACAAGGAAAGCATGTTTATCTTTATATATTTTCAGTGTTACACAAACTGGCCGGAGTATAGGCATTAACTGAGTTTTTTTTCCTCTCTGAAAACATACATTTTTGGCCGGCCAAACAAAAGACAACAAATCTAGTACTACGGTGTGTCCGTCTCTTCAGACCATCCCGAACCCAGTTTCAGTGCTCCAAATAGCAGCAAGAATGTCCCTTTCAAACATACAGTACTCTTTGTAATGTCCTGGAAGTTTCAGCTGGTGAAAGCATGTGGAAGAGCTGGGGAAGTTGCTCTCCACCACGGTCACATCCAGGCCATGTCTAGGAAGCACATTCCATCCTATCCAGAACTGCACAAGTTTCCCAAGGATAACGGGAGATGCTTTATAAAACAGAGAATAAATTCATTTTATTATAATTGCTTTCAGTTAATAGTTAAATAACAATAATGTTACTTAAATTACGCCTTGGATTGTTACTGTAGCTTGAAAGATAAAAACAGAGGAAGCGCAGCTTTCGTTATAATAATTACAAACTTTCAGTAAACAAAGCTTGAAGACGTTGTTTTACCCATCTCAATAAATGTGCGCAGGAATCCTGTGAGCCTACAGGAATCCTCCAAAGAGACTTCACTGTCTTCATCCTCATCCTGTGTGGGCCAGTTTATCTTCTCCAACACCATCTGACAGATTTCGTTTTGAAAGGAGCCCAGTGAAAGCACAATAATAAACAGAACATACAAGAAACTGCAGGTTTTGCTGTGTAGCAGCAGAGTAGTCTAAAGATACAGTTGTTCTATTGGTTTAGCTCCTTTTAAGCAACAAGTAGCATCATTTCATTTCAAAATATGTTTGCGTAGGTGAATGTTTGTTTTAATAAACTTAAAGCAATGTAGGTCTGAGAGTAGTAAATAAACCCAATTTCTAACTCCTGTGAGTTAGGAGGAAGGATTTGACTGAGCAGCATGAGATCACTTACCCGTGGTGTGCACTGCAAATCAGACGCTCTTGGAAAGAGAAGGGGAATCGCGTCTTTCCTCTCCGTCAGCAGAGGCCAGATCAGTGTCTCTTTTAAACCCCTTCGTAACTGCTTGACTTGTCTGGAGGTTCTTCCAAGGACCTGCACAATATTTGCATCACAGTAGAAAAGCAAAGCAGCCTGATTGATCTAATAGCCCAATAAGCATGTTTTAATACACGTATTAACATCCAAATATGTATTTAACAAAAAAGCTCAAATGTGATATGCCAAAATGAGGTCCTACTTCAAAACTTCAACTCTGATTAGTCAGTCTGATTCATATGACCTGTTAAGAATACTCACAGCATGGAGGATCAGTTTATCAAATAGCCATCTCCTGTTGTCACATGTGACTAGAGGCAAATCCCAGGACAGTGCCAACTCATTGATGAGCTTTTTTTCTTCTGATGATAACTCTGCTGTTCCCTCCAGCTAATAATGGCAAGTAGAATGAATTTGATAAGAATCGTTAATTTCTCAATACTTGTATAAACATTCAACTTTGATACAACATAAGAAGTTTAACTTATAATCAGCATGTTAGTTGGTAACCTGTAAAAGCTATGTTTTGTCAAAAAACATCTTATAGGAGGACATCTGTAAGTGTTCTAATGATATTTAATATATCAGTGCATGGTGTTTTATAATGCTTCAGTAACCCCTGCTGGTGCAAAGTGTAGCCACTTGATGTTAACAGTATCTGAAAGTAGATCAGCTAAATAAATAATAACCAAAGGTTGAATAATAAAATAGGTTAGAAAAAAATTGAACATACCAACTTGATTGTCTCACAGATATCAAGGTCAACACAGTCCTTAATATCTATTGTGGCTTCTTCCGGGGATCCACCAAAGAGCACATGCAGGACAGCTGGGCTCAGTCCACCATGGCCCATCATGGAGGAATGAATGTCCAATCATTCGGCCAGCAACAACAAAGAAGTCACTCTCCAAAAGGAGATGAGAAGTGGAGGGAATCAGATGATCTTGTTCTCCTTCAAAAAGAAGAGTTCCTCCAGGCACTGCAAATATAGGAAAACAGTCAAAGTAAATTGATAGTAAAGTAAAGGACATAGATATTCAACTATCACAAAGCATTAGTAAAGCAATGATCAAACCGCCACTGGATACTGGTTGATCCTGTAGAAACCTACATGTTCACAGCAGCTACAATCACATCAGGTTTTAGGAATACGTTTTGTTTTCTGGGGTTAAGGGACAGATTTGTTTTCAGCCTGGAACTGGTACAAAAACACACATAACTTAGTGGCTGAGACCCAGCGATCAGCCATAGTAAATATTTACTTACCAAACTTCATCTCAAAACCAGCCTGAAGTTTTGACATGATGGTTGCAAAGAAATGCCGAGTCACACCATCACCAATGGCTGGATCTCCTTAAAAATGTAAACACACACTACAGACATCAGTTTAACGAAAATATGGTTTGTTCATTTTTTTATCTTGGATTTTGTTTGTAACCGAATTACCCTTAAATGTGCATGTCAAGGGGCAAGCCCACTCAACATTTGCCTTCTTATAAAAAGTAAGGACTGCTCTTTCCCTTTCCTCTGCACTGTCTCCAAGATCCATAGTAAGACACAAAGATTTTCCAGTTGCATGCTGGCTTAAAATGTCTTCTTTAAACATCTTTGCTGCCTCTGTGGGATCTGGCGCTATTCTCCAATCTAAAAATAGTTTAAAAGGTTTCCAAATTAATATTGGATCAAGTGAAATGTAGAGAGCAACAACTTATTGCAATACATGATGTACTTAATAAAGGATGTTACACACCAGAGAAGCCACTTTCCTCAGTGGGATCGATGTCAACTACCTCAGGAGAAGGCAACATTTCCTGAGGTGCCACCAAGTGTCTTGTGTTCCTGGCCCTTGTTGTCTCATTTCCCTGTGAACGTGCTTTCAAATCTAACTTGACTTCCGGAGGCCCTTTCAGTTGTCAACTCAATCTGTACCTCACCGCTGCTCTGTGATGGTCTAGTGTAAAAAGAGGTTATTTCTGTTATTCGGTCTAGTATACTTTACATTACATATCACACTCTAGAAAAAGATGGGCATATAAATAGAATGACAAGTAAACCAAATGTTACTTTTCCTCAAAACCAACATCCAGAATGTATATCTTTCATATTTAAATGTATTATAGAGGACAGCAGAATATGGTGTTACAGAGGGATTGTTGGAACAAAAAGTACTAATATCTGGCCCCATAATTATAAAACCTCAGATGTGCTGATATGTCAAAATATTTTACATCCATTTGCAGCATCCCACAGCCTTAAGCTTATTGGTTATTGTGTGTCTACACATGCAGTTGCAGTGTGCCTGGCGAATGTGATGTTTAGTTCTGTAGAGAGTAATACCTCGTGCAGTTATTGCTGTGATCCTTCATTCTGGAAAAGGGGAACTCCTCTCCACAGATGACACATTTCTGATTTGGTCCAATTAACACGTTGTCGCCTTCTGATCGACATGCCTGTAAACAAAATAGTTTTAAACTACATCACAAGCGAACAATTATGTTACTGTAAGTCACAGATTCCACTTTAATATTGTGACACCACTATAGAAGTGAGGAACTTACAGGGTCCAAATTCAGGGTTCTTTGCATTGGTCTAATGAAAACCGTAGAATGGCCAATCTGGGTCTGAGGGTCCTTCAAATATCTGACATAGTAACCCTCATTGGGACAGGGGATCACAATCAAGTGGCGACTTCTCGTAGTGCCAGATATTTTTAGCAACTCGAAACCGCCACCGTTCCGCAGTTTTGGATAGGCATCCATCAAGAATTCGAGGAATTCATTTGAATCTGTATGGCTGCCTAGAAATAGATGATACACATAAGAGATCTAACATAAAGATAATGTTATGATTGTAAGGGTAACTCAATATATTTATATATCACAAATGTACATTTACCATAAAAAATAGACAGAAAAGGAAAGAGCGATTGATAATCGTCATTCTAATGACTGACAGACCTTTAAATGTGAGCCGTTTTTCCCCTAAGCCAGCAGCAGCGAGTCTTTCTTTGGCGTATCGGTTGGGGACTAAGGCTGCATTCTTGTCCTCAAGGCAACAGAATAAATGGGTATAAGAATGCAGGTGTGCAGGACCAGAAAGGGTTTGCCGCCCTGCCGTCCTCCTCCCTCCCATGTAGGGGCCAAACAGTCTTGAAACTTCGGCTAGGATCAAATTAAGAAGATAAGCAATATTGAGTGCAAGGAAATAATGATTCAACGAGAATCCAGGGGGGAAATGTTGGTTAGCGTTAGCATCACACACTATAAATATAATGATCCCTTCAAGCTGGTGGACAGAAACTGAATCAAATAACTTGTCATTGGCGATATAAACTTAGTAAACTGATCGGATTTGCATTAAAAATAGTTTGATGCAAAGACCTACCGTCCACTGGGTGTCTGGGAGTCCCGTTATGTAACGGATGAGGAGGAGGAGACGAAACTGGCGCGTTAGCAGTCCTTGGTGCTGCACAAAACATAACATAGCGCCACATTGGGTACAAAACTGTACATTGGCATTTTAACACACAGATCAGTTTTTTTACATTGTCATATCAGTCTTACACTAGACCAAAGCATGAGTCACTTACAGTTTTCAAGCTGGTTAGCCGCATCCCGCAGAAGGTCTGCCAGCGCCCTTCCAGCCGAAGCCATTATTAGCGAGTTGCCGACAATGTACACAGAATGTACAGATGTGACTTGCCACGAATCTATTGCTTCTGCCTGGCTCCAACAATTGGCAAATCCTGCTTCAGACTGAGGTTAGGACCGCCCACCTCATTAGCATACGGACACATAAATACATAAATAAATAAATGTATGTCGCGTAAATGTAGAAATAAATGAAAGATATATAATAACTAGGGCCGGGACTCGATTAAAAAATTAATCTAATTAATTAATCGAAATTAATCGCATTTTTAATCACATATAAATATTTGACCTGAGAACAGTGAGAAGCAATTTTTTTCACATGGATTTTAGTATACCATTAGGCGCATTCACACCGCAGTACTTTTCCGACAAAGGTTCATGAGAATTTAGTTCATGAGAACTCTTTGAACCTGGGGGTGGATTAGGCAAATGAAGCCGCTGACGTCACTTATTCTTCTTCTGCTTTGGGTTTACTGGCAGGCCGCAAACCACTTCACGGCGTATACTGCCGCCCAAAGTCCCCGGCCGGAAGTCCCCGGAGTTGGGGACTGGCTTCAGTAGAAGCTGCTGGGAGTCCCAGCAGCTTCTACTGAAGCCTTCCGAGTAAATCACCAGAACGCCGACACCTCCTCATCTCCACCGCTCCCATGTTTTATTTTGTGTTGCCATAAGTTAGTCTCTCTGCGTTTCTGCGCTGGGCTAATGCTAATAATGCTAATGCGAGGATAATAAAATGGCGGCTTCACAAAACTTTTTGGGAGTTTTACGGGGCGTGGTTTGCAATCCGCCCAGCCAATCAGAAATATAGCTCTTTTCTCACAAGAGAACCGTACGAAAGTCCCTGCTCTCTAGCAGCTCTCTGCTCTCTAGCAGGGACTTTCGTGGGGGTAAAAAGGTTCTCATTAACTAATTTTAGTACCGGCTCTTTTTGGTGTGAACGCGATAAAAGAGGCTAGCTTCCACGCTAGCTGCTATATGTTTTGCATTGAGGTGATACTTGAGGCTTGATGTGCTGCGGTGATATGCAAATTCCTTTTTGCATAATTTGCACACAACCGTGCTCTTATCGACGCTTCCATCCGTCCGTTTTTTAAAACAACATTTCCCACTGTGGTTTGTTGTTGTCTGAAGTCATGAACGTTAGTTGGTGCTCCAGTATAATCGGTACGTCTGAAACTCATCCAGTGAGAAACGTTCCGCGGTGCAAAAATAAGTGCGATTAAAATGCGTTAATTTTTTTAACGCGTTAATTTTTGTGTAATTAATTAATCTTAATTAACGCGTTAAAGTCCCGGCCCTAATAATAACGTGTGTTCTGTTTTATTTTCGACTTTTATTTATTTATTTATACATTGATGTATTTATTTCCATATTTATTTATGCATTTATTTATGCATTTATTCTTTTATTTATTTATTTGTGTATTCATTTCAACATTTATTTATTTATGTATTTATTTCATCATTTATTTATTCCTGTATTTATTTATTCCTGTATTTATTTATTTACGTATTTATTTATTTATTCCTGTATTTCTTCATACATTTATTTATTTATACTTAAGTCATGTTCCGTCCTCCATAATGGAAGACCAGTTTAGACCAGACAACGAAGAAGGTAAGTCATTGTTAGCCTAGCGCATTAGCGCTAGCGCCATTTGTTTTGATGTACGTTTTTGTTGATAACGTCGCGAGTTTGTATCTTTCAGTGTTGAGGTGGGCACCGTTAGATTATGTGTCTCCTTGCGATCATAAACAATGTGTTGGATGTGCAGCTAGGATAAGTAATAAGGGAGCGAGGAGTGATTTTCGGTGCAGTAATAGGTTAGCATTCCGCTCGGGGCTAATTCAGAGTAGGCCTATGTTTTGTTTTATTTAATTTGTTTTATTTTTTTATTTTTTTCACAACAGTTGTATTTGGATGGAATGAATACATATAGTGATAATTCAAAGTAATAAAATGATTTTTACAGTGAAAAAGTTCAAATGGAACCGATGGTTCCCAAATTACCCAGAGGTGAGTCCGCTTAGACTTTATTTTTCTAAATCTCTCTAAAAAGGTCAAATTTCACTTGTTTTGCATCAATCTTGATACAGGGTACTTATTATATGTTATAGTTTGGATTCCTAAAGCTTTTAGTCTACTAACCCATCATGCAAGGGTGGTTTTCACTATAAGTAACGTTTTTTTTTTAGGTGGACATTATAATTTACATGTTTTTACTATGTTCCATCTGAATTTACTTTAAAATAAAAAACATCTATATTGATTCTGACACTTCTACATCCAACTCACAGATGTAACCTTGCTTTGAGAACAATAATTATTAATTTACCCCTTTTAGAAGTCAAGATATATCATTTGTTGTGTTAGTGGCATTTTCGAGCCTGAAACCTGAAAAACAGGCTCAGGGCTTAACTGGTTAATACAGTTAACAAGTGGAGGACAGAGGAGGCTCTTAAATAAGAAGTTACAGGTCTGTGAGAGCCAGAAATCTTGTTTGTTTGTAGGTGACCAAATACTTATTTTACCGAGGAATTTACCAATTAATTCATGAAAAATCCTACAATGTGATTTCCTGGATTCTTTCCCCCCATTCTGTCCCTCATAGTTGAAGTGTACCTAGGATGAAAATTACAGGCCTCTCTCATCTTTTTAAGTGGGAGAACTTGCACAATTGGTGGCTGACTAAATACTTTTTTGCCCCACTGTATGTCACTCCGGGTTTACTGTGAATGTTTAGGGCTAAAGTCCCGATGTGACACCAGTGTCACAGCAATATTTATGGCATTTGTTTCATATCAATTTAATCAAGAAATGTTTCCACAACAGGTTAAATGTAATCAGAATCAGAATACCTTTATTCGTCCCACAGAGGTCACATTTAAATTTGTTACAGCCGAAAAGAGCCGAAGACAGCTTAATGTTTAACAAATGACATGTCATGTAAGCATTTTTATTCTTAAATGGCTTGAATGTTAACTTTAGCAACAAAAAACCTTTCCAAATGTAGATCCGTCACATGTGTTAGCCTGGCACATGGACATCTTGGACATGTTGTTATGGGAACACAAAAGCAAATGACAAGGACCATGACCCACCAGACTGTTCAGGGTGTGTCACTTAGGGACTTCATGAGATAAAAAAGGCTAAAGCTGTATAAGGAACTTTCCAGAACATTTACATTTCATGTGACACCTGTGTCTTAGCAATTCTGTCTGCCTTCCGTGTTGCACCATTAGGACCCACTGATATAAAATGCTTAACTGCCTAAGTTGCAACTATGCACTTTTTGGTGGGCTCAGCCCCAACTTGACATATTTTTGGCTTCATTTATAGTGCCTAATTGTAAGTTTAAATATTATGCAATGTAAAGTTTTTCTTGGCCTAGGTTACCGTTATAGAAGGAAAGACAACAGTGATAGTTCTGTTTCAGAATAACCTTTATTGGAAATTGTTAGAACAATCTCAATCGTCCTCGGCTTGAGCTTCAACCTCAGGATCCATGTATCTGTGGTCCTCTCCAGAATGGAAGTAGTCATCACATACAGAGCATCAACTAGTTCCTGAACAGTGTCCTTCACATGCTGATATCCAAGAGAGGGAGTTACACAGTCACAAGATGGAGGAATAGAAAGCAGTATTCAATGTTTACTTCAGATTAGCTCCACGTCAGAAATGAGCATGCTTGATGTCTATCTCCATAGAGGCTGAATCATCATGTTAATCACATAGCTATCATATGCTTCAAACAGTCCTGATGCTCTTTTGGTAAAGTAACTCAAAGGTAGGCTAATATAAAAGTAGTGTAACTCATTACATTTCAGAGACAGTAATATTGTAATGTAACGTAGCCTATTACTTAAAAAAGACAGTAATAAGTAATGTACTGTATTACATTTTGGAAGTAACTTGCCCAACACTGCAGATGATCCAGTCATCTTGTTGCTGCTTTCGGGCTGCGAATAAACAACTTGTGTTTTACTTTTAGGCTGTCTGAAGGTATGGACAGCTATCAAAGCTACTATACATCACATTAAGAACAATGTACAAATGTTATATATTCAACTTATGCCCCACTGGACTTACTTTTCTGTGGTTGACCGTTACTGTGACATATCAGTATAGCCACGGAAGATAGTTTGTGTGTTTTATTCCTATGAGTAGTATTAATCATGCTGTTTCAAATACATTAGTATGCATGAAAAGTGACAGATGGACACGCCCCAAATTATGCAAATGAGCTAAGTCCCGCCTCCCATTGTTCGAGATCCTTTGATGTGAGGGGTGAGGTGTCATCACACGTAGGTGTGAAATGCCCCCTTGTGTAGCGCCTTTGTTCGAGATCCTTTGATGTGTGTTATAACAGGTAGGTGTGAAAAGCCCCCTGGGTAGCGCCTTTGTTGTCTAATTCTTTGATGTGTTGAATAAGTCTCTTTGAAGTTGTGTTGTATGGCCCCTGTCCCCTCACACCCCTTTGTAGTCTAGTCCTTTGATGTGTGTTATAGCAGGTAGGTGTGATATAAGCCTTTGATATTAATCTACAGATGAAGCACTCCAGATCAGACTCAGGTGGGTGTGTCCCAGTCAAAAGCCCATCGGATGCCAGCGGCTGGGGGTGTTGCCAAATTGCTAGGGGGCGTTGCCCAATTTCCCCATTTGTTCAATTACAGGATTTAACCATGAGATGGCGCTTCATTCACAAAATACACAAAGACAACTGGGTGTTGATGAACTTAGTCTGTTTGCAATGTTTACAGCTCTGCAGTTGTGTTTTGCTGAATACTGTAGCATTTAATC